GACGTGCAGAAAGTCTTGTTTTCTTCTTGCAGATTTTTTGTTCGTATCCGTCGTAACGCAGGACAACGTAGAAAATTTTTAATTCTAATGCTGTGGGTTGATGCAATCGTTTGTATAGCTGCTGTAACTCTTCACTGATGTCGCCTTTTCGTGAAGCAATATCCTTTACCACGTCTACCACAGGGAGTCCAGCGTTTTTCAAATCTCGATAGATGTTTGAGGTTTCGGTCCATTGGCAGTATATGATTGATCGAATACGAGATGAGACAGTCTTCAAAGAATCAGCCAACTCTGGTCCAGTTAGAGGTGACTCAAAATTATTGAAGTGGGGTGAGAGAGAGTTTTTTTTGCGTCGTGCTAAATAACAAACTCTTCTGTTGGTTCCGCTTCTCTGATATGCGTGAAGATTGACTTTCTCGCTTTTGGTGTCCTTCGATGACAATTGAGGCCGCTTATGATGGCTGATTGATTTACGCCTAGGCTTCTCAAGCGTCTCTTTTTTTGATATTCTTGAGAAATAAGTGCTCTGAAGAGAGAACTCGCGCCAAGGATAATCATTTTAGGGCCACCACGGCTGCCCTCATTTCATTCAATCTTAAAAAACACTTTTCAATAAAGAAATTTTTGCTAAAAAGTAAATTGCGAACGTTTTCGCAACTATGTGCATCGTCAGGATTTTTACAATAAACTAATCTAAATGACGATAAAACATCAACTTTCAAATGTTATTTACAAGAAACCACGTACAATTTGGTTCTAAAACATCATGATAAAAAATTAGCCAATCACAGTTGACCTCTAAAATACTATTAAGATTAAAATACTTTTAACAACTAAAATTAATTAAACATTTTTGAATTAGTTTGTCTGGAATTTTCTGAGTCATAATTTTAATTTAGACATGTAGGTTTTAAATAAAAAACCAAAAATAAATCAGGACTAAATTTTCAGTGTTAATTTCCTGCTACTAAACTCATCGCGCGTGTTCAAGCCCGGTTTCTCTTTCCTGATATGTCTTGCCTCTAGTTTTAGCAATTTTGTTTGGTTGTTTGACCTATCTATAATTTCCCAGCTAAGATCTGCGCTATTTCCCTCAAGTTGGCATTGCTGAAGGTGGAGGCCTACCGGTGAGTCTGCTTTCTTATGTTCCTCATTTCGAGTGATCAAATGTCGAGCAGTTTGTCCAGAATAGGTTGAAATGCATCCACTACATGACAGTTTATAAACCACTCTTGACTTGAGGTCATTAGAAAATGCTGACTTCAGTGATGGTAAACATGATTCTAGTTTTCTTGTGGTGAAAACCACTTGAACGTTAGTTAATTTTCGTAACCTGTTAGCAAAATATTGGCTTTGGTTACCTCTATATTACACCGTCAGCATTGGCGGCTTCCCATCCTTTGGTGATTGAACTGACAAACACCTCTCACTATCCACGGGCTTGCCCTTACCCTCTATGATCTTGCACAAGGCGTCTGAAGCCACCTTTGCGGACCAATTTTCAGTGTACTGATTTGTCAGCCATTGCGCCCAATTAGTTTCCATAGCCTTATCAAATTGCTCCCTGCTAGATGTACTCCTAAAAACCCTGTGTATAGTGCCTTGGATAACACTACGCTTATACTGAGTTGGGGCGCAGCTTCTATAGTTCAGTATAGTCCCTGTATTTGTTGGTTTTTGATACCAACTGCAAGTTACACGCCTACCCTGCGATACATTTATGTTCAAATCGAGGAACGGCAAATTCCCCTCCGAATTAGTTTTCTCTAGAGTGAACTGCAAATTTGGATGAAGAGAATTGGCGGCATCGAGAAGACAACTCGGCTCCCCTCTGACTGTTCTAACAATGTCATCCACATACCTGAGGAACAATTTCACCTGGGGAGTATCCTTCTCATTGTTCTTAGCTCGGCAGCAGCTTTCACAGTACCAGAATGTCTCGGTTATTGATGTGTATACGTCATCGGATATTTTTCCGCATTTTAGATGATACCTGTTTCGGCAACTCTCGCATTCAACCCCCTCTGATCTATATGTGACTTTCCTGCTTCAACAAGGGTACATACCGTTTTTGTCATCATTTGCTGTATCGCTGTTCTCACCGGTATTTCGTGTCAACTCTTTCAGCCATAAGTTTGCCCGAATTACAGCGAGGGACGCGCCCATTGCTACACCATCAACTTGAATATACCATGAGTCATTACACTTGAAATATACTTTGCTGACCGCCATATTCAAAAGCCTTTTCATGGTTGCTCTTTGAATTTCAGGAGGAGACTCCTGGCTGTACAGCTTCTGTAAAGCAATTTCCCTTGCCTCCTTCAGGGGAACGTTGGTGTACAAACTTTTCACATCAAGAGATATTATAGTTTCATCCGGATCTAGAGCAATGTTTTCAATTGTTTCTCTAGCCTCTTTAGTATTGGTTTCTATATTTGCTCCATCGATGTTGTCAAAAAACTTTTCCAGCATTTTGTTAAGATTTTTATACGAGCTGAATGGAAGTGATAGTACTGGTCGTAGTGGTTTCTCTTCCTTGTGTACCTTAGCTAAACCGTACAAACGGGCATCTTAGAATATAACTGATCATTTATCTCGTCTCTTTTGTTCATGGCTAGTAATTTTTTGTTGAGTTCCTTCTCAATTTTCAGTATCACCTCTTCAGTGGTTGCATCTTTTTTCACAAACTGAGCAGATTGCAACAAGGATTGCAGCTTTGATTCATACGTTTGTTTCCTCATTATGCAAAAACCAACCCCCCTATCAAAAGGCACAGCAACCCATTATCTTTGAGATATTTCCTCGTTTTTTCAACGGCTTTGTCTCTTGGGGTTTGCCTTGCGTTTTTTTGCTAATGCCTTTGCCGCGGCTTCTATTTCACATAACGTTTCACCAGATGTTTTTTGATTTTTCAATTGTGAGAGGAAAATGTCGATATCAGCCAAAAATGTGTTTCTTTAATTTTGTCTCTAATGGGATGCTTCGGGCACATTGATAGCACTTCATATACCCAATTAGGCAGTTCAATGTTATCAAGTATCTTAATTGATTGCTCATTCCCCCCCCCCCCCAAGAGGTTTATCTTGTCTCTCGGACAGTTTTTCGAATTTATTTCTATGGTTTTCTGATGTTGTCTGTAAGCTTGCCTCAAATTGACGCCTCACGAAGCGGAAAATGGATGCCCAGCACTGTTCGTCGATTTCTTTTTGCACCAGTGATCTTGCTTTCATTAGCATCTCCTCGTACCTTTTCCTGTCCTCATTTGCCCTAGAAATTTTAGTCCTTAGTAGTTTCAATTGAAAAGTATGCACGGCTTGGTCCGAAAAAACCCCGTTCTCGGGGACCCTAAACTTCAAAATGTCCTGTAATAGATCGTTTTTCAGACATTTTCTCAGAAACTTCAGTCTATGTACAGATACTTCCACTTTTTCAAAGATATTTAAATAGTCTAACACAATTTTCCAAGTTAGTTTTCTTTTTTGAATTTGTCTGAGCCAAAGAGCAGGCAAAAGGACTGTGGTCATTGTTTTGCAGGCCACGAGTAAAGAAACTCACAAGGCACAAAGCAAAACAAATCACACTCTTCTCACCCCTGTCTTTGAAGCGCAGACACGTCCTCTGCCTTCAGCTTCTTCTCACGTCTCGCTTTCGCCTTCCTCCTTGTCTGCGATGGTCTCTGTTGTTTGCCCCTGATATTACCAATCAGCTCTGACAGCCTTTCTTTGTGTGCCTTTACCAATCGAAGAGATTTCAGCTCCAATTCAGCACTCTAGTGCAGCTTCAATTATTCCTTGAGCTGCTCCGGGTCATTTTGCTTGCTCTTGGAGAGTAGCCGTTTTGTAGCTGGAATAATGAGCACTCCTGTCAAGGCTCTCGTATTGCTTTTTCTAGCATGTGTTAAGGGTGTTGATGCTGTGGAGCAGGGAGCTAGCTGCTACAAAATGAAACATTTCGGTAACTCAATAAAAATCGGCCATATTTTACGTATCGATAAAAAAACACTGAAAATTCCCTTTACATTGATGAAAATCATTAAAAATTTTTATGCAACCACTTTTTGAATTATTGTTTTTGAATACAACCACTTTTGAATTATTGGTATTATTTAATAAGTTAGGCAAGAAGATTCTGATATTGTTTTATCAATTTGGCGGCATTTAAGTTTAAATTATTCTTTTAACAAGCAGTACAAAATAACATTCAAGCAATTTTAATCAATTAAGCCATAAATTCACTGCTTGTTGGGACAGCCCAGGAGTAGTTCAACTCATGGAGGGTGCCCCAGATAAGATAATTTTTGAGGAGCATCAAATACATAATTATACAAGGTGACATTTTAGAAGAGAATTTCAAAAATCAGATAATTGTCAAACAGATATGTGTCCTTAAAGTTGTTAAAAAAACGTTCGAACTGGGATTTGGTCATTTTTTCTACATCGGGAGGCAACAATTCGTTGTTTTTAATAAAGTTATAAACTCGAATTGTTCGTCGCGTAGCTGACTTTTCCATCATTTTACTTTTAAAACTAACAGTGGGTAAAAGTTTTGCCGCTGTTCTTCTGGTTGTTCTTAAGTAAGAAGTTTCATTAATGTTTAGAAATTTTACAAGTGAAGTTTTTCTCAGGAGACCGAAAGCTTCCTTGAAAATATGAGCATTGATTAGTGAAAGTTAATATTTTTCTGTTTTCTGCTCTTGGACCATTCTGCTTATTGCTCCGCCTCCGAAATTGCGGTGTATGAGGCAATATTTTTTTGTTACAAGGTGGCGGACGCTATGATGAGATGACCCGACAATTTTCCCCCAATAATGCAGCCTTTCAGCCTAAAAGCTTCTGATGGTGAACAACGTTGGAGCGATTTTTATTCGACAAGCGACCAAAGCGCTTGAATTATTTGTCCAGGAATGATTTAAAAGAAATCTTGCATCAGTTCTCACTCAGTTGTTACGCTTGATTCGCTTATAGCTTAAAGCGTGTAGCTACTGTATTGCTTTAAGATTTTATGGACAGTCCTCTGCGAGGAAAGCCGGTGTACTGCAGAGAGTGGGTTGTGCAGAAGCTTCTGTATATTGCAAGTTCGCGACAACAGCACAATTGGTCAAAAAAGAATGGCGTGATTGTATTGGGTAGCTCTGGATGCGGAAAGACAGCCTTGCTCACGGAATTGTCATGGCCAACCAGCAATCATGCAAAGCAGCACTCAATATCTCGACGCGTTTTGGCTCGACATTTTTGTCATTCTCATTTTTGGCAATCCCTTAGTCTAGCTAGCTTTGTTTCCAACATCTTGAAGCAGCTAAAATGCAGTCCTTTCCTCCCAAATTTCAAAGATGTACTAAAAGATTTTACCAAAGATCGATATTCTTTTTCATCGATTTGTGCAAATCCAGATGAAGTTTTTAGAACAGTAGTTCTCGGTAGTTTAAGTGTCCTTAATGCACAGGGTGTAGTGTATTTCCTACTTGTTGACTCAATAGACGAAGGTTATGAAATACAAAATCTCGCTGGTGATCGAACTGGTGGTCCTAGTAAAACCATTTCGGATCTTCTATTGAATAATCTCGACTTCTTTCCACCTTGGCTTTGCTTACTTTGTTCTGCTCGGAAAAGCAATGGACCGTTCATCCAGAGGTTTCAGGGTTTCCGCAAGATTATTCTTGACGACCAGGAAAAAAGACGGCAGTATGTGCAGAAGGATGTGAGGGGGTACATATGTAATCGCATTGAGTGCGACAACAAGCTCAGAGTTCTTTTTTCGAATCCTGAAACCCGGGATCTAAATTTGGAGCTGTTGGAAAACAAAAGTGACAGATGCATGCTATATCTGGAATGGGTCCTGGATGGCGTCGAAAATGGTATGATTAAATTTTCTGAGATAAAAGAAATACCAGGGACGTTAAGAGGGCTCTATTTGTGGTACTGCCAGCATTCATTTGAGAAGAAAACCTTCTCGTTAGTTAGACCGATCCTGAACGTGCTATTAGCTTCCAGGATTTCCATTACTGAAACTGATCTTGTGGACTATTTGTGGTCCAGAAATCTTCAAGTGCCACAGGACGAATTGATTTGCAGGCTGAAATCGATCGAGTGTTTTCTGAAACGCTTGCCAGATAAGTCGTTCAGAATATTTCACAGTAGCTTCTCAGAGTGGCTGCTGGATGTCAAGTACTGTACTCGGCATTTTTTGTGCGACATCAACCAAGGTCATGCTACTTTGGCACTCAGTGCTACTTGTAATTTGGATAATAGATCTTTCGACGAAGAGTTCTCAAAAGATTTTGCATACGATCTGGCAAAATCAGCGCCATGTCACAAACTCAGTAGCGAATTATGTGCTCTTTGGATGGCATGGAGTGGTGTTAATGTCGAAGAATCCATTACTTCACCCACTCCTCCGAGGTCGAGTAGCAACTGCAGCGTTAATTTATACTCGGTTTTATACGCTGGTGGAGCGTACCGAGACGTAAGCCATGGATCAGATAATAGCGATCACCTGGCTTCCAACACCAGTGTAGATTACTCCGACTCGAGGGAAACTGAGTCTGAACATGCGGTCAGAGTAATGCTCGAAGGTAACCCGGCATCTATTGCGGAACATGATTCAGATGGACTGACTCCTTTAGCAAAGGCAGCTCAAAGAGGTTCGCTGAAGTGTGTGAAAGTGTTGGTCAACGCTGGTGCTGATGTTAATGCAGAGAATGTCAATCGACAGACGGCATTGGGTCTAGCTACTACAGCCGGACACACTAGTGAGTATGCATGTGTATTAGTTTACTCTCTCTTTTTTGGACTCTCGGGCTTCAAAAACGAAAAATTGTAAAATGATTTTGGGCTTTTAATTTGTCTTGAAGTTATCAGCATAATTGATTTTCTTCAACTTGTCAAACAGTACGCATTTGTGCGTAATTTGATTTGAATCGTTCAGTTCTTTTCGATTCTTATCCCGACCATTGAAAAGTGTTTAGTTTGATTTTTGTTCTCCATGCTAAATCAGGTAACACAAATAATTATCAGAATGAGCGGAGTGATACATATAATTAAAGCCCTTTCAGTCGTGATGCGAACGTCCTTAAAAACTTTCAAAAAATTGTCCCAGTGTCAAGATAAACTGGTTTAAAGTTTTTGAATTTTAATTCAATTTCAAGCGAGTTTAACTTTAATTGAGCTTTTGGGCTGAAAATTTAATTTTATTAGAGATGTACCGGATTCCGGAATCCGGCAAATCCGGCAATTTTGGGATGTCAATCCGGATCCGGAATCCGGTAAAAAGTAACCGGATTTTACCGGATTTGATTCGCCTAAAACTTGTTGAATTCTCAGTAAAAAAATAAGTTTGCAACTGTTTTTATTCAAGCTGTTACACAGAAATTTTACTCAATGTATAAATTATTGAAGAAGTAAAAAGTTATCATGAATCAAAACAAGCTGTTCGGAAAATTCTGGTAGAGTAATAGCAGTAAGTAGCAGTAATACTTTATTTCAACAGCTGCACTCAAATTACTGACAAACAATTAAATGAAATCCGGAATCCGGAATCCGGTTCTTTTTTTACCGGATTTAATCCGGATCCGGTAATCCGGTAAGTTTCGATCCGGTCACATCTCTAAATTTTATTAAAAAAATAAACTTAGCGCTTTCTTGGCAGTACAGGTTTCATTTTGCGCTTTCTTGGCTGTACAGGTTTTCTTAAAAAAGGTTGGTGCAACTATTAGAAGTTTTTGTTAGTCATTCATTTTTTGAAAACAAATGTCAATTATGCCTAATTCACTAATTTTATACGCGTTTGAGTAGTTTTTTTTAAGTGATGTCACGCACTGGAAAGGATATTAATTTGATGAAAAAAACTTGTTTGGAGTTTTTTACGAATGTGGTCGGAACATTCTGTGCTACTGACACAGCAACCAGCTATCTTTGTTTCACTTTAGACGTTGTGCAGTTTCTACTGGAGCAAGGTTCTAATCCTAACCACGTTGACTCTGAGAACTGGTCGCCGCTCAGATCAGCTGCCCAGAATGGCCACACAAACATCATCAAACTACTGCTGGACCACGGTGAGTCAAGATTATCAGTCTCAAACAGTATCCATCTCAGAAAATATTGAGCAATTCTTTGATAAGTATTTATTTAACATTTACGCCACTAAACTTAATTCGTTGTTGTGTGTTTCTTATCAAGGAACATTGTTTGCTGCTTCTTTAAGTTGCTTATTTGATTTAGAAAACCTGAACTTAAATCTCATGAATTTTGTGACAAGATTGCTTTATATTTTAGTTACAACTGAATGACGAAATTTTCAATTAGATGCAAAATTAACTTTTAATTTTCTAATTGCTGACTAATAGTTTTGCATGAAAAATGTTCAAAGACTGTGCTCAATTTTAAATAAATCCAGAGTATTAGGGTTCTCGCGGACGTTGAAAGGCATTTTGTGTTTCAATTATAATTATCTTAGATTTTCCGTTACCGTAATCCGAGCTGTTTCAATACTCATTATTTCTCCGTTTTTTTCTTTGCTGAAGATGGGAAGTGGGAGGGCAAGATTACCATTGGGACATCAACTAAATTAAATAGAAGGGATGTTGGATTAAATATGGGCTGGTGACTGATAAGAAGACGCTGAAAATATGCATTGGCAGGTCCAGAAAAGGTCGATGGCCTAAACGCGCAATTGTTCACTCTCTTGGCAGTTGAGTATGAAGACATTTTTCATCAGCCGGAGAAGCTTAGACTGACATGGCACTAAAGTTCAGTTCAGTCGAATTAAATTCACTTGTTAGAAGCCATATATTTAAGTATAGCTGCTCAGTTGTCAGCTGTAAGAGAAAATTGGGGCTCCAAATAGTTTGACTGGGATTGAAGGTAGCACCGTTCAGGTGCTCGCTCATAATTGTACTTAGCCTCAAAGCCAACGGAACTACAGTGAAGGAAAGAACTGTTAGATAACGGTCTAAGGATATGTCTTTGAAGGCAGTAAGCTAGATGTATGCAACTATGGTACATGTAAGATAGTGGCAGGGAACGGCTTTCAGAAAAGATGCGCTCCAACTTTGTTGCTGCTCGTTCTTGTTTTTGGCTAGTGTTCTATTTCGCAGCAATAGTCTTTGTTCATTTGCGCCCCTCAGTTTCAAATGGAAACACGCTCTTCCTATCTTGGTTTACTATGCTCATTTCGCATCTACTGCCTCCAATGGAGTCCGCAGGCGGCGGCTGCCCAGCGGAGAAATGGAACACTAATGGTCCTGATCGAATTCACTGATTGCATGATCAAAATCAAGCCGCAACTCTCCATTCTTCCATTTAGAGCTTTTAATGCGCTACTAGCAAGGTCTCTCTTGAAGCCCGTTAAAGCTCTTTTTTATTAAGGGAAATCGCAAGAGGGTTTGCTGCTCCAGTTGTAGTCAACTAAGATGTTTATAGCGTTTTCTTTGCTTGTGTTCCATGTAGAAGAGCCATGTAATTGGTTCTACGGGTTCACTTATGTTTCAGGTGCTGACGTGAACGAGCGTGACAGTAGCGGCAAGAGTGCCCTCAGACTGGCTGCGTTCTCTGGCTCCAAACAGGCTGTGGAATTGGTTAGTAATAAACGCTTCTAGCAATTAAAAATTGAATACCGACTAAACAAAAATATATTGAGAGTTTTCTGTGGAAACTTAATTTCCGTTTCCAGAAGGATATCTGAGTGGAGGCCGTAGTCGATTGGTCAAGTAGACTATCTAAAAGTGTTTGCCTATGACTCGGCATACAGGATGTTCGATACCCCGCTGTCCACGGTCTTGTGCAAGCTCATTTTCGCGTATTTAAAAGAATTAGAGCGTGATCTTTAGCTACTGGTCAGTTTCGAACGCTTCTAGAAAAAAATTGACACAACCTGTGCAGAGTGCTGTAATATGAACACTGTTTTTTTTTCGGTTTCTATCATCCAGAAATTTGGAACTCGATCTCAATAATACAGACACTTGGCGTTTGATGTGAGCATCTGAATATCTTCCCGTTATACTTGCCATGAGCAAATAGCTTGAAAACATGGTTTTTCTGGTTTTCCCCCATTTTTCTAAATGATTTTTTGCCTGACAAGAGTTTGTCAAATGTGCTTTTAAGAAATAAAAATGTGTGTAAGAGAATAGCTGGATTGTGCGTACTTTTGCCAAAGTTACATTTCTACAGTCAATTTTTACAATAGTAATTCATGCGGTATGTGAACAATGGGGGTTTTTTAAATGTTAATGCACGGAGCGATGTCCATTTCAATTCTATTTGCCTAAAGGAAGAAAAATTATGCTCTCCAATTACAAACGTGCTAATAGCGCAAAACAAGATGAATGACTTTTAATTTTCCATTTGCGAAACCAAGTACATGTAATCGGGATCTAGACTATTTTAGGATGTTCTCACTTGGTCTAGAGATTTAACATGTGCGTTCGCATCATAAATGCTCGGCTTCGAGTCGTCATCGGAACCTGACTTGTCGAATGTATGCAATTTTTTGAAAAAATTTTGTAGCACAATCGATTGCAGGAATATCATTTGCTAACTCTGATTGTCGGACAAAAGTTAACCAATTCTGGTTTTGTATAATTTCTTTCGTTTTTTGCTTGACTTTATTGCATCATTTTGCGCGGTTTGAAGGGCAAAACTATATCATGTTTCAGTTGTACTAGGCGTAAAAAATGCTAAAACTTTCTTTCACTTTTGTTTTCATTTTGTTTTCGGCTTTTTTCAGAAAAAATCAAAAATATGTTCAGTCTTAAATTTATTTTTTCGAGTTTTGACTTAAAATTTCTTTTTACGTTCAGTTTTTTCCTTTGTATAAAGGAAGGCAACCTCCACTATCGAACAGCCAAAAAGTTAAGGCGACGAACCACTTCTAATTTGAAAAATGGGTTTCAGCGAAAAAGAACCTTTACCTATTAATCCAGTTTTCTCAAATTGGCTAAATCATAACAAAGTGTCATTCATAAATTGTTCTATAATTTAAAGAGATTTATGGACATGTCTTGTTACTTGGTAGTTCGAAAAAATTTTCAAAAAAACACTGAGTATTTTCTGTTTACCTGCGTTTATTGACTCTTCAACTATTTGTTGGCTATCTCTAATTGATTTATTCTTCTGGAAAAAGTGTCTTATATAAAAAAAACTTGAAATTGAAATAATCTGAACATGAACCTTTTTGAAATTGGAAAGTTAATTTTTTGTAAAAGTGTCTCACAAAAATTTTTGTTGTTGTTTTTATGATCCTTTATCGTTTTTTTTTTCAGGATCAGATTTAAATTTGATTGCACCACTTTTTCTAATTAAGCTATATAAGTTGTGATTACTCAAATGAGCTTGCGAGTATTGTTATAATACGAGTCGACTTTTTTAAATCAACTCACATAAAATAGTTCTCATTTTGCTAGTACGTTTTGCTGCATAATAATAGAGTTGGCAGTTTTTTGCATGTGTATTTCTGCCTTAATGGTGGCTAGTGTTTTAATATACTCAAAAGCCTATGATGCAGATACGAGGATGTGGGAGTCCTAATATGTAGTTTGCGGGCTTGATTTCGGCTCATTACAAAAGTTTTATTCTTCCAGACTTATTTTTGGATTTGCTTGTTTCGTGTTTTAGAACCATTTTTCGACGTTTTTTCTGTGTTTGCGAAGCGCTTGAATTTTGATACCTGATTACGAAATGGGAGGAAAACTCTGCTCCGAAAACCGATTGCCCTATTTTGCCTGTCTATTATTATGGCAAATATTAATTATGAAATGTTGCAAAATATAAAAAATCGTTTTATTTTTAGTATGCTTGATTGGGTTATTTATTTTGCAAGAGAGCAAGTGACTTGTCATCGCGAACTAGTGTTTTTCCATAAACAACCTTTCTTAGAAATTTAGTAAATATGTCCAGTTACTGCAGTTGCTTTCACGTGTGCAGGCTGAAGCTCAATTTCTTGAAAGTTTAAATTGATGGCTTTTGCTATAATCACGATCTAGCATTGTATATTTTATAGCATCTGTTCTCTGCTTTATTTTTGGTTAGCGTTTGTGAATAGATACAGCGTCCGTGTCTGAGTGGTTACTTCGTGAAACTCATAATCTGTAGGTAACAGGATTACATCCAACGCGTAGCCGAACGTTTACTAATTTGAGGCTCATTTATTGCTTCACTTTATAGAACTGCTTTTTTTTGTGTTCTCGCCAGTGTTTGCGAAGCGCAGCTTCACCTCTGGGTTGAAAGTTGTTTGTAAATTTACCACCACTGATTTTGAGTAATTTTATATAGAATAGTAAGGAACATAGTGAGTATTCGTATGTAGGTCTTGGTGAATTTTTGTGTTTTTTTTTTGCCAGGAGAAAGTCTTAAAACTTTTTCTTGCTCAGTTCTGATTTTTCGCGGTTTGACTTTTTATTTTTGCTAAAATAAAGGCAAGCTCTATTAACGAACAGCAGTATAAAGGTCACGAAAAACATTGGGCTTTTTTTATATATGCTTAGTGCATAAATATTGTGTAGTTTCAACGGCGATTTCTTTGATGCGTTTTTTGCGTGTTTCAGAAAGGATGGGTCGTAAAAAAAAAATGTGTTGGAATGTTCTTATGGCTACTATTTTATCTTCAACATAAGGGGGCCCGAACCAATTTTTGTCGCCTTAGTGGCCGCTCGGTTATTGATTCTCAATGCTTGTTGAGGCTGTTTATGATCTTCATTCGAGACGAAGGTGTGAAATTTTTGTAGATGTAATTTATTTTCTTGTAATTTTTTTCAGCCTAGTTGAAAAAAACAGTCCCATTTTCTATTCAATTATTCTATGCGGATCTACATTACACTCTCCCCCACCCCATGGTATCTACTAAAGAATCTCCACCCCTATAAATAAATACAGTAAACTAGCACTGTTTTGACTGTATTGAGAATTCGAATTTGCTGCATTCTGATTGGTCGAAAATTTGGATAACTTAATCTACTAACAATCTCCCCCTTTCTTGAAGGGGGAGATTGTTCAGTTGATAATTTTATGCTTGTAAGGAAATGTTTTAATTGTATCGTAAGTTTTGCGAAGCTACGCTTCGTCTGTCATTTTTCTGACCTTTTCTTTCGGCCACTTCGCGAAGTGGGAAGGGGAGCTTTTTTCTCCTGAAATTGACTACCGCAAAGGAAGCTCGTACATTCCGCTGATAGGCAAACCGTTCATTTTTGAAGTTGACCGTCAAATGTCAATTTCATTTACATGCAGTTTATTTAAATTGAGTGAATGTCAGTGCACCTGTCACTTATTTCAAGTGCATATTCATCTACAAAGAATTAGAATTTTTTGTGAATCATTTGGATCGGAACGTCCCAAATTATTTCCAAATGCGATAAAAGAATTGTTTTTATTGTGACAACAAGTGAATTCAGTAGTACTGCCACAAAATTAATAATTCATATTAGCTCAGCCATCTTGTTGCTTTATTTATTCAAGTGTATCTTTGGCTCGATTTTATTGTCAGGAAGTACGTTTAGGACGGATTTAAGAGTGTTATTCCGCTGTTATAAACGTCATGCGCCGTGCGTAGTGAGAGAGAGAGTACACAGGTTGAAAGGGGAGGGGATTAGAATGGGGGAATTGATCAGTGATTTGTAGATAATGCAATCTGGCATTTCCCACTTTGTTTATCCCGCGTTCCTTACCTAGATAATGTACCGTTGTATCACTACCACCACCACGCAACTGCACTTAGTGATAATCCTATTTTAAGTTACCACTGAAGTTGTTTACCATTGAAACATGCTGCGAGTATATTCCAAACTAATGCTAAATTAGCAGAAATTTGCCGAGTTTGGAGCATTTTGTTTAGCGTGCCTTTTGGTTAAATAAGAACACGGGAATGTTTTCGAACCCGAAAATAGTTCTACATCTAATTCGGCTTTGAACATTCAATGAGCCCTCTGAACATAAACTGAGCAAATTGAAGGTTGAAAATTTGGGGGTTTATTTGTTGAATATCCTCAGTCATAGCACTAAAAATTATTACGACCTACAATAAGTAGTACCTGCTATCATGGTAATAGCGATAGTGGAAGAACAACTCTCTTCTATGCGTCACTCGATGTTGTCCAGTCCAGGTCGTAAAATAAAAAATGGCATTGTTATTTCAGGGGCCAGACTTAATTATCCTTTGATGATAAGTGACTTTGAAGAAACCGTCAATTGATCGGGTATCATATCATTCTGTAGTTGATAGTTATTATTTCGTTTCTACAATCCGGTGTTTTTTTTAAACAAATGGCACGGTTATGTTTAAAAATCAGTGCTGCTTTTCCGAGTCTTTGTTAGCCGCTACTCAATAAATTGGGGACTAAAAGTGGTATTGCAGGCTTTTGGACAAAATCTTTTAAACAAAGATATGGCAGCCCATGTTAATTTTTTTTTGTTTGGTAAATGTTTGACTTTGAGAAGATGCGTGAATTATTCTAGCAGCGCAAATGATATCTCTTATGTTTTCCTCATTGTAGAGTTTTAATTAAATTTATTGCAGATATGGTTAAGTAGTTAGTACATGCTATCATGGTACTAATGAACATGTCTTAGAATAGAATAAATCATGAAA